TTCAATGAATGCATCTTACGTTGATTAATAAAGCATTCCTGAATTGCAAAGTAAAACGAGAGGAGACTTCTGGTGCTGATATATTTCTATATATCTGAAGCCAGAGAGAAATGTGCACTTACAAGAGATGTGGTCAACCAGTGTAAACAGAGATTGAATATATATAGTGATTTTTCTAATTGTCTCTGTTTTCTCCCTGCAGCAGAAAACCACCTTTATATCATTGATCCTTTCTTGAAGAATATTGTTACCATGTTACCAGACACACTGTTGAATAAGAACAAGGCAACTGACACAATATTACAATGACTCCAGTTATCAACTAAATGACATCTGCAGTTTTACCTAGCAAAGCAATGCAAGAAACTAAATATTAGCAAAACCTAAGCCGCCTTCTCCTGATTTTTTTGCACACAGAGTAGAAATATTGGTCGAGTAGCATCTGCTTTTGTGAACTATTGCACTTAGATTAAATTGGCCTTAGAAGTGACCAGATTCAGGGAAACTATTTAGAAAGTGGAAGCATGGGAAGGAGGTGTAAGCAAATTAGCATTTTCCCAAATTTTCTTTCCTTCAGCATCCATTAACAAAAAAAAAAAATTGACTTATTTAAAGTGATATCATCACTTTATCCAAAAACCTGTTCTTAGTTTGGAATAACCTCTTTCAGTCATCACAGTGTTTTCAATAGGAATGTGTATTAATGGTTGAGTTAGTTAGGTTGTATTTTGTAAAATACCTTTAAATTCCATCTGTTTTTCTCTTTAAGAAATGGTTCCTTCATATCACCCTTAAATATATTCCAGAAAAACACACTGGAAGAATCATATCTGTAAGTCTTGCTTATATCTCAGGATCTTATGTGAAACTCAGTTTCTGATCCTTTGCAGCCTGTTTCCTTTTTTTGTTTGCAAAGCAATTCAGTATGCCCCTTGTTTTCAGAAAGCTTTGGCTGATTAAGAATATTGCATACGAATGGAATAAGTATACATGAAACGTATTTTCACTACGAGTACTGAATACGCTAAATTGATGACCTATTACATATATCGTAACAAAAGATCTGGTGTGTCTTGTGTAGTTACAGGTCTCTATGTCTTGAGAGAGGTATATAAATATGCATGCACACGCATACACCCTAAAAACTGGAACTGGAACTTCAGAGGCCAATAGCACTTCATCTATAGGATATGAGGACTGTTGTGCCATTGTTTTTGCTAAAGCTGTAGACTTGGTAATAGCACTGCATCTTGGATCTTTTTCTTTCAAAATCACCTCTTTAAATCTGAAGATCCTATTAGTCACAGCAGGGAGCATAACTAGAAGGAGGATATCTGTAGCTATAGTAAGAGAGTACATTAAACTGTAGGTCAAAATCACGATTGAATGATTACCTTCAAGGTAAAAGTAAATCTTTAACTTGCTAGAGTGGTAGGAAATGGGACTGAATGGGGTTTCCTGAGCTCATGCCATCCATCCCCACACTGCAGCAGGGCCAGCGATACCTAGGACATTCCTGAGAGATGGTTGTCTGACTTACCTAACCTTTGTAGTGACATGTGACTCTATATAATCACCCTCATCTTTAGAAAATGCTTCCTAATGTCTACCTTCAATGTCTCATTAGTATTAAGAGATGATTCCATGAAGAACCTGAAAGGGAAAACAAGTATTTCCCAAAAACTTTATCAACAATTAAATCACCTAAAACATGCATGTATGACACACATTTAAGGTTACTTTTTCTTCTCCTACTCTCAGTGGACAAGAAGAGTTTAATCCCAGTCTTTTTGCAGTAGGTTGTTTGTGCAAACCCAAAGACTGCTAGTCTTCACTTTTCTCTAGGCCTGTGAGTTTTGAGTCTCTCCTCAATGACTATAAATTCAACATCTACGAGTAGTCTGAGTTTTCCACTCTAGATGATCTCCAGCTGTTCCACTGTCTTCAATTATGCTTTAATGGGTGCAGAGAAGACCAGAAGTTTTCTAGTAATAGAGAGTAATAATAATATAAATAATATATATATTATAATAATAGAGTAGTGCAGGCTAGAGTTGCAGTGGATTCAAGCTTTGCAATTAGGTCTTTCCTTCACTAGTAAGCCTACCTATGGCTTGCCCAGTCCGGAGCTGATCAGACTTATATTTTGGCACTGTCCAAGATGGTAAAATAGCTATATTTTAAGAAGTTATAAATGCTTCTAAACAGCATTTCCATTGAAGATGAGGATGAAAGTCATGACCTTGCTTTCCAGGATTCAAGTACTGAGTCCAGTCGGATAAGCTTTAGTGAATAATGTTTACCTACAGGACTGTATAAAGAGTAATCTGTTATAGGAAAGTGTTGCACTTTTACCAGTGGTTGGGCACTTAGGAAAAAAAAAAATCCTGTTGTCTTCTAAGCTCTTTTGCTTCTTTCAGTGGAATAAAATGGAATTATATTTATGACGAGTTATGTCTGGCACACCACTCGTGAGCATTC